TAAAATCTAGTTTATAATTCAAAATCTAGTAAAAATGGCATATGCGGCAATCTTGTGATCATTGGATTTAGGGGTTTTGGTTATTTAGTAGGTTATAAATTTTTTTTATAGTTATTGAGCCCAATTTCCCATTACAATTTGTGTTTTACTCCCTCTATTTTATAACATAGGATGTTTTGCCAAAAGCACAAACATTAATAAATTTTTTTTTTTTCAAAAAGTAGAATTTAATATATTAATTAAAACAATTCAACCAACTATAAAAAAAAACCGCAAAGAATTATTGGCCACACAGTTTTCAATAAAGCTAAAAAATACTTTAAAATATCAAAACATCTTATATTATGAAACGGAAACGGAGGGAATATTTTTTTGCTTTAGACTTTGAGTTGCATCCTAACTGAAATGCTTATAATGTAGCATCTTTTTGGGTTCACCTCACTAGACTACCAACGCACTATTCCTGACTTTTGACGTCAATTACATATAAAATGGTTTGCTTACCAAGTTTTTGGGTCAATTTCGGATCTTGCTAAACACGGTTTACAACAAAATACGATTTCTGGATAGATATAAATTTTGAATCCGTCTTGTCGAGTTTTAAATGATTTGAGAGTTTGTATACTCTAATAATTACTATAGTTTTGATTTTAAAACAAAGGAGTCAAAAGTCTAGAGGAATACATTGGAAGAACATATCTCAGGAAAGAGTATATGTCATGGGATTAGTCTAACGAAATCCACCACCCTATTCTGTATTCACACAAGTTGGTTAATTAGTAATCCTTAAATTAATAAAATTATACTATCTGGAATAATTCCTAACAAACATTGTGATATTAGCGTTATCATGTTTTATACGTTCCAGAAAAAGTACTGTAAAATTCTTACACATAAAGCAAAATCATATAAAGTATAAAGTCGACCAGAGTTTAACAAAAAAAAGGTTGAAGAACATATTATACATATGATCTCATTAGAACTCAAGATTAGTCCGCAAATGGAGATTTCTCTATCTATTCTGTACCAACGGATTTCGAAAATGAATCAAAGAAACTAGTCTCTGATTTTCCCCTTTTCCAGGTCGAATTTTAATCAATGGCAATGATCAAGAAGCCAACAGAGACGTACATGAGGAAGACCGGGTAAAGTGCGAGCGCTTTTCTTCTCGGGTTCACGGCAGCGCTCATGAAAGGATAAGCAGCCCAAGAGCTCCAGGCAAGAGTCACACACACAACGATCATTTTGAGTATCACATTGTCCTTCAACATGCAGATCACTGCTCCAACGTCCAGAGGAAATAGACAATAACCCAGAAGGCTTAGGCTTTGGAAAAATATTATATGTCCTCCCTGAAAATTGCATTGTTCACATACAAAAGAAAATAGGGATGTTTAAAAATTAAAACTTGTAACATGAAAGCAAAAAAGTATGTGCCTTGTACTAATACATGAATGAAATGTGTGCTTACCAGGAGCAGAACGTTTAGTGTGAGGATCACTGCCCCAGCTGCTAGTAGTGCAAATGCCACGGCAAATACTTCAGACTAGAAATACATAGAAAAAGAATGAGATCAAAGGCAATTACAATAGATAGAGAATGATTCTTTATTCTACCAGATATGTAAGAATGTACTGCTTTGTCATTTCAGGGACTCAGATATGTAAGAATGTACTGCTTTGTCACTTCAGGGACTCAAACCTAAATAACTTTTGGATCCAAACGATAGGAAAAGCAGATTTTAGATGGAAATGAAAACACGGATGTGGGGTAGATCCATAAGATGATAAGAATATGTGGTAATAACATTTCAATAACGTAAAAACAGAGGACAAATACAGAACAAATTCATGCCTTTTCAGATACATGATCTATACTTTAAGCACATTCAAACACAGCAAAACATAAAAGGCCTTGTTTTGCCCATTGATTTCACAGTTTCTTATTTAATATGTTCACAAATCCTAATATATAAACCAGTTCTTGCCAGGAATCTATGAAGGACCAGCCAGTCATGTCATCCATTATGGTCAGATAAGCTGTGGCAACACCAATTCAAGGAGAAAG